GCCTTGGTTATGGTGTTTCATCACAGCAACAGAAGAATAACCAAGCCAGGTGGTGGTGGCAGCACATGGCTGTACTCGGGAGGCAGAGGCAGGCGGATCTTTGTGAGTTCGAGTCCAGCCTGGTCTACAGAGTGAGTTCCAGGACAGGCTCCAAAGCTACACAGAGAGACCCTGTCTCGAAAAAACAAAACAGACAAAAAAAGAAGTAGATTAACTAAAATACTGTGTGCTCGTTAGGACAGTCGAGGTACTCTTGGAGAACCCCAGCGTTGCTGATGGCGTCGGGGTTACAGTGGTCTTGGGTATGAATTGGTCACCCTAGAGTCATGCTTACCTCTGTTCCCATAAACTCTCCGAGCTGCTCCCCAAATGAGCATCAGCGTGTGACCACATAAAATGGTCCCGGGAGGTGGGGGGCTGAGATGGAACCCAAGGCCTACCAGGTCCTGGCCCCTTGCCGGTAGATTCTAGGCAGGTACTCTCCCAACTGAGCCATGCCCCTATTCAAGACCCTTTCTTTTTGGCACAGAGATTATGCATCAAATGTGACTATTGCCAGAGGATTCTTTCCTTACTGACTATTCTAGACTGGAACTCACAGAAACCCACCTGCTTCTGCATCCCAAGTGCTGTGATTAAAGGTGTGGGCCACACCCGACTCTAGATAATTTTTTGTTTGCTTTTTTTTTTTTTTTTAATTTTTCTTTAGTGAAGTGGCAGTATTGGCGCATTCCTTTAATCCCAGCACTTAGGAGGCAGACACAGGTGGATCTCTGTGAGTTTGAGGCCAGCCTGGTCTACAGAGTGAGTTCTAGGACAGTTAGGGCTACACAGAGAAACCCTGTCTTGAAAAAAACAAACAAACAAACAAAAAGAAAAAGAAAGAAAGAAAGAAAAGAGAAAAGAAAAACGAACAAAAAGTCTGCTCCCTCCCAGGCGGCTTTTCTCGGCAGTGGACTAGTGTGCTGACATATGTTTTAGAGTTCTCCGGTTAATTCTCCCTCATACCTCAGGTCTATGGGGCTGGAGAGATGGCTCAGTGGTTCAGAGCACTGACTGCTCTTCCGAGGACCCGGGTTCAATTCCCAGCACCCACATGACAGCTCACAGCTGTCTGTAATTCCAGTTCCAGGGGACCCAACACCCATGGCAAAGCACCAGTGCCCATTCAGAACAACAAAAAACCCTCAGGTCTAATTACATGCTGGCCACAGGTAAAATCTCTTTAAGGAAGTATTGCTTTCTCTGCCCTGACCCTTCCTGGCTTGCGGGTGATTGTTATTCTTTCCTCTTTCTTCTGCACACAGACCCAGAGCATTTCCCTAGCCAAAGAATGTGAAAAATGTCGTCTCTGGCTTTTTCAGTTCTCAGTTAAGCCTCTTGTGGAATGTCCCCTGCAAGCCAGCAGGGCCTCTGGCTGTCCATTCGAACCCGCCTCTCTCCACCCTCCTCTCTCTGGCTGCCTTTCCAGCGCCCACCCTTTCCTCCCTTGAATTCCAAGCCCTTGAGCTGGGGCTGCAGCTCAGCTGGTAGAACTCAGCAGGCCCTGCATTCCATTCCCAGCACCGCGGAAGACAGGCACAGAGCGGCAGGCCCGTAATCCCAGCACTCTGAAGGGGAAAGCAGGAGGATCAGGAATTCAAAGTTGTTCTGAGCTACGCAGCAAGTTCAAGGCAAGGCTGGACTCTATGTTGCCCTGTCTGAAAAAAAAAAAAAATTCAAGTGGTAGATGAAGGGACAGACATCACGAGTGTTCTGAAATGGGCATGATGAGATACCTGCCTATGATCCCAGCACTCCTGAGCTGAGGCAGGTGGATCAAGTCCAAGGCCAGCCTGTACTATATAGTCCAGGCTAGCCTAGGCTACATAGTGTCTCATTAAACCAAGGGCTGGAGGTGTAGAACACTTTTATACCGTGTGCAAAGCCTTGTGTCACAGCCTCAATACTGGGGAAAAAACACAGTGCTCCACCATCATCTTCTAAGACCCCTGGGTGCTAATATTCTGACCCGCCCCTTGGAAACCAATGTTAATATTCTGACCCGCCCCTTGGAAACCAATGTTAGTATTCTGACCCGCCCCTTGGCGCCGCCCTGTGTCCTGACATAAAAGCCTCATTATAAGGGAAAAGTGCTCCCCTTCCTCTCTCTCTTCAGCTTTTCCACCCATGAGGTGTGCACCTGCGACCCCCACCTCTCTTCCTCTGTCTTTTCTTTCTCTTCTCTCCCTCTTTCCTATCTTTCTCTTTGTCTCTATTTTTTTTTTGGTTCTTTTGAGACAGGGTTTCTCTGTGTAGCTTTGCGCCTTTCCTGGAACTCACTCTGTAGCCCAGGCTGGCCTCGAACTCACAGAGATCTGCCTGCCTCTGCCTCCCGAGTGCTGGAATTAAAGGCGTGTGCCACCCCTGCCCGGCGATCTTTGTCTCTATTATAATAAACCATTTCTGAATAGATGCTGTGTCTGGGTCTCGAATGACTGTCCACTGCCGCCCCACCGCCATGCCTGCATGGTGTGGGCTGCCCACCAGCCCACTGCTGCATCTGCCCAGCATGCCAGCATGGTTCCCTGCACTGGAGGGATACCCTGACCCGGCTAGCTGGAGATCCCCCACGAGTGCAAATTTTTAGCAGATCCAACTGTGGGGGGCCCCAAAACAGCTTCACCACACAGCTGCCATGACAGTCTTAGAGACAGGCTTACTGGCAGGCAACACCCGGATCCAGGAGAAGTCATAAGCTGACCCCACCCAGGGAGGGCCTGCATCTAAGGGGAAAGACATTCCCTATACCCCTAGACAAATGTCAGCCAATCAAGGTCCTGAACCCTGGAAATCCCTTCACCCCAACCTCTGACATGATTAAAAACAAAACAAAACAAAACAAAAAAAAAACCAAAAAAACCTACCCTGCCCGGGCTCAGAGCTCTCTGCTCTCATTGCTACCTTGGACAGAGAGTCCAAGCTTGAAATGAAGGCTCTTTGACTTTACATATGGGATTCGGTCTCTGTGGTGGTCTTTTGGGAGGGTCTCTGCGATCTGGACCTCTTCAGGCCTCTGTGGGCACCAGCACTTATGTGCACATACTCATACACAGATATATAATTTCAAAGTGCATCTTAATCTTATGTGAAAAGCAGTTAATATTTCACCTTTAATGGACAATTGAGCCATATTACTCACACCCGTAAGCAAACTGCAAAAACTCTGGGTTTGGTGTCCCAGGTTTCAGCACCAAAATGTTAGTAAGTTGATGGCTGAAACTGCAAGGAGTTAAGCCCTAGAGGGCGAGGTATCCAGGACACCTCAAGCTGCTCAGAACAAGAGCTCTGCCCTGAAGGTGTCCCGGACACCTGGAGCTGTTTAGCACAGCTCTGATGACTGGGACTGCAAAAAAACAGCACAACCTTGGAAAGGAAGGTTTTCTGACTTCTCGGGAGAGTCAGGCCTGGAACTGCTTCAGCAAGGAAGGGTATCCTGACTCTTCAGGAAATTCAGGATATACCTGGTGTGATGGGTGATGTTCTCCCCACAGGACACAGCAATCCTGCTCCTCTCCTGGAGAGCCACAATCTCCGGCTCAGTGTTACCAGCTCTCTCTTTCTCAGTCCACTATGGGATGTCTTAGTAAGGGTCTTCTGTTCAGCTCCCCCTTGCTCAGTCCACTATGGGATGTCCCAGCAAGGTTATTCTGTGTACCAGTGAATGAAGGTCTTCACCCAAAATTCTTTTGAGAAAGAGATTTGTTTGGGAAAGAGGAGTCCAGGAGAGTAGCTGCCTCTACCAGGGTGGAGAGAACAGCTCCCAACTGACCAGGCAGGCCGGTTTATATAGGATGTCTAGGGGGCAGAGTCAACTGTGATTTTTTTTCTGCCCAGGGATTGGCCAGTTTTGTGGGCAAGGGGCAGAGATGGCCCTGATTTCAGGGCCAAACTGTATTGCTTTCACTGGCCTTATTGGATTTTTGACACTACCTCTAATGGCAGGGCACATTTCTTTTACTGACTCTGATTCTAGGGGCCAAGAGTGTTATTTTGGTACTAGTTTCAGAGGCAGGGCATATTTCCTGGGTTCTGGGTTTGAGGATAAAGTGTTCATTTCTCTGGCTCAGGTCCCAAACACAGGCTGTGTTTCTTTCCCTGGTCCTGGGCCCTAGGGCCAGGATTCTACTGTCCTGCTCTGTGATTGGTTGATTTCACAAGTCAATTGGACAGGGGCAGAGATGGCTCTGATCTGAGCTAAACTGTGTTTTCTCTTACTGGCCTTATTTGAGCCATCCTTCCCTAATTCTGGGCTCTAGGGTCAGGGTGGGTTTCTTTAGCCAGCCCCTTTTCCCTACAACACCTGTAACCCCAGTTCTTGGGATTACAGAAGGCTGAGGCAGGAGGATTGTAAATTGAGTTTAGGCAGCATAAAAAAGTGAGAACAGGGGAAAAAAAGAAAGTGTCATGGAATAGCACGCCCAGTTTGACTCCCAGTACCGAGGTTAGGTGGAGGATAAAGAGTTTTGAAAACAGTGTCAAGCAGGGATGTATGTGATGGCATCTTACTTTATTAACAGCTGCATAGAAGAACTGAAGAGGGATACAACAAAATAGTTGTGTGTCCTCATCAGTGAGGTTACTGGTTAGTTTTACTCCCTGGTTTCGACCGAGTCTTGCAAAGTTTCTATGTTAAGCTTCTAGTACAAGTTTTGTTTCCTGGCTGTTGAGCGCAGTTATTTTTTTTAAACTACAAGTCCCAGCAGACATCGCCCCACAGCCTTCTGCAGGTTGACCTGCTCGGAGCGCATTGATCTCTGGGATTTGTAGTCTTAACTATAAAATAAGGTGGGCCACACACTACCGGCACAGAAGACCTAGGTGGAGACACCGCCGGGTCGACCAATAGACACTGCGTACTGGGATGGAGTGGCGGGCAGCTCACCAATCGGCGAGCCGCTCCTCGTGAGTGACCTGGCATGCAGCCTACAAACGGCCCGTGGGGCGGAGCGTGAGTCCCGACCCCATTGCTAGCCATGGGAGGCGGCTGGTGGTGGGCTCGGGTCGCGCGCCTGGCCCGCCTGCGCTTCCGGGGGTCGCTGCTGCCACCTCAGCGGCCCCGCAGCGGGGGCGCGCGCGGGTCCTTCGCCCCGGGCCACGGCCCACGCGCGGGGGCCTCGCCGCCCCCGGTGTCTGAGCTCGATCGCGCGGACGCTTGGCTCCTCCGCAAGGCACACGAGACAGGTCTGGCAGGGACCGGGGTCGGCCGCTGTACAGGAGGGGTGCGCACGTGGGAGTGGGCGGCGAGGGTGCGGCATGCATCTGCTGGGAACAGGGCCCCGGCTCAGCGGGGGCAGGTTCTTCCTGTGATCGCAGAGAGACGCAGGGTGGGAGATTTTGCAGCCTGGCCACATAGGGCACCAGCTTGCGGGTCCTGGCTAATGGGGTGCAGCACAGATTATTGGGGGTTGGATTTCGGCTAGGAGAGGTTAGCCCCATGGCACTACACCTGCATGGATGAGAGACCGTTCCAGAGGCACCTGCGAGGAAGAAGCGATATGCCTGCAACAGGGGGGGTCGGTTCGGACTGCAGAGGGGAGCACTCGGAATAAAACAAGAGTGTGGCTACCCGCAGAAGATGGGGAAGTTCCGGATTGGGCCAGCGCGTAACCAATGGTAGAGAAGATGTCTGCTGATTGGAGGGAGAGGTGATCTAGGATGCAGGGGGAGGGACCTCAAATAGGGCAGTGGGTTGACAGATTGGAGCCATTCGGACTTTGGATGGGGCTGGTAGTGGAAACAGCCTTTCGGCAGCACTCAGGGAGTTGAGTGGCAGGGAGATGTGCAGAAATGTAGGCAGGCCCCGGGTGGAGAAGTTTGTCTGAGGAAGAGAGAGAGGGCCACAGGATGCACAAGTATCCTTGGAAAGACTTTCCATCCGCAGACTGTCTTCAATTCTTGCTTTAGATTTTCCTCTGGGTTAGACAGAGACCATCTTCAATCACTGGTCAAAAGGGGCTTAGAATGTCCGGGGGAGACGGGGTAGGGGAATGGGGCTTGCAGGGGGCTTCCCAGAAGGAATGGGCATGTGGAATATTTTTGTCTTGTGGCTGCATAGGGTGGGGATTGGCTTGATGGTCTGAATGAGAGGGGATCAAGGAGGCAGGGCTTGGCTGATACAGAGCTCCACCCCCCTCACCCCCAACAGCTTTCCTCTCCTGGTTCAGAAATGGACTTCTGGCATCAGGGATTGGGGTCATCTCCTTCATGCAGAGTGACATGGGCCGGGAAGCTGCCTACGGTGAGTGCAGACCCTCCCCTTTCCCTCCGTTGCCAAGTCCTCTTACCCCACCTAACAACTGTAAAGGGAGCACACTCCCTCTTCTAACGCCCCGCTGGTGTGCGCCCCTCCCCCACCACTCCATACACCTCCATCAACACTGTCCCCACCTGAGTGTAAGATCTAAAGCACGACTTTAGCTGTTCTGCTAAACTGCTGGGTGTTCTGCCTCTAATCGATTTCTCAAAACAGAGTCCTTGGAGAGTTTCCAAGGGGGCCTTGACTTGTGTGTACACCTTTGTCTATACCCCTAGACCAGCCCCCTCATTTGGATCTTGGGCTCGACCCCCGAGTCCCAGATACTTCTGTGTGCAGTTTCATGGACTTGGCTCATACTGCTTGAGCCCTTGGCTGCCACCTCCTGCTCTTATTTATCTGTTGATTTAGTTATTTATTATTATACTGGGAAGAAATCCAGCATGCTAGTTAAGTGCTAATATCACTAAGCCACGCGCCCCCAGCCCGTCACTGGTGGATTTTCTAGCCATGTGCTCTTATCACTGAACCACAGCCCCAGCCCCTCACTGGGGTATTCTAGGCAGGGGCTCTACCACTGAGCCACACCCCCAGCCCCTCACTGGGGTATTCTAGGCAGGGGCTCTACCACTGAGCCACACCCCCAGCCCCTCACTGGGGGACTCTAGGCAGGGATTCTACCACTGAGCCACACCCCCAGCCCCTCACTGGGGGATTCTAGGCAGGGGCTCTACCACCGAGCCACGCCCCCAGCCCCTCACTGGGGGACTCTAGGCAGAGGCTCTACCACTGAGCCACACTCCCAGCCCCTCACTGGGGGATTCTAGGCAGGGGCTCTACCACCGAGCCACGCCCCCAGCTACTCACTGGGGGATTCTCAGCAGTTACTCTAGCACCGAACACTGAACGACATAGCCATCTTTTTTTTTGTTGTTGTGGTTGTTACTTTTTGAGACACAGTTTCCCTGTGTATAACCCTGGCAATCCTGGAACTCACTCTGTAGCCCAGGCTGACCTGGAACTCACTGAGCTCCACCTGCCTCTGCCTCCCAAGTGCTGGGATTAAAAGTGTGTACCACCGGCCGGGTGGTGGTGGCGCACGCCTTTAATCCCAGCACTCGGGAGGCAGAGCCAGGCGGATCTCTGTGAGTTCAAGGCCAGCCTGGTCTACAAAGCGAGTTCCAGGAAAGGCGCAAAACTACACAGAGAAACCCTGTCTCAAAAAACCAAAAAAAAAAAAAGTGTGTACCACCATTGCCCTGCAAGATTAATTGTTTTTACTTTATGTTTGTAAGTGTGTATGGGGACCATGTGAATGCCTGGTACCAATGGAGCCAGAGAAAGCATCAGATACCCTAGGGCTGGAGGTAAAGATGGTTTGAGCCACCATGTGGGTGCTGGGAACTGAACCCAGGTCGTCTGCAAGAGCAGCAAGTGTTCTTAAACTCAGAACCATCTCTCCAGCCCCCACCCCCATAATTTCTTTCTTTCTTTTTTTTTTTTTCCCGAGACAGGGTTTCTCTGTGTAGCTTTGGAGTCTGTCCTGGGACTCGCTCTGTAGACCAGGCTGGCCTCAAACTCACAAGAGGTTCGCCTGGCTCTGCCTCCAGAGTGCTGGGATTAAAGACGTGCGTCACCACTGCCTGGTCCAACATTTTTTTTTCTAAACTTGTTACTTTGTGACAGTTTAAGTTGCCTCAGTAAACCTTTAGCTTGAGCTCCTCCAGCCTCTTTTTTTGTTTATGTTTTTTTTTTTTTTTTTTCAAGACAGGGTTTCTCTGTGTAGCTTTGGAGCCTGTCCTGGGACTTGCTCTGTAGTCCAGGCTGACCTCGAACTCGAAGATCCGCCTGTCTCGGCCGCCCCAGTGCTGGGATTAAAGGCGTGCGCCACCACCGCTGGCTCTTCCAGCCTCTTCCTACCTGGCATTAGAGGCCTTGCCCAGCCCTGTGCTCATACTGACCCAGCCTCCCCATCCATCCATCATCCTGGCAGCCCCTTGGGATACCCTGGACCCTGCAGCTATTGATTGCCGCTCCTTCTTCCACAGGCTTCTTCCTGCTGGGCGGCCTGTGCGTGGTGTGGGGCGGAGCCTCGTATGCAGTGGGCCTAGCCGCACTGCGGGGACCCATGCAACTGTCTCTTGCGGGTGCTGCGGCTGGTGTGGGGGCAGTGTTGGCTGCCAGTCTGCTCTGGGCTTGTGCTGTGGGCCTCTACATGGGCCAGTTGGAACTGGACGTGGAACTGGTACCGGATGATGATGGGGCTGCCTCTACGGAAGGCCCAGATGAAGCAGGCCGGCCACCACCCGAGTAAACAGCAGGGCTGTGGGGACTGCCTGGGCCCCGAGGACTGAGACATTAAACCTGACCCTTCAGCAGTTCAAGACTCCGAGTGATGGCTCCTGTTATCTGGGGAGGCGCGGAGGGGACAGGAAGGCATCCTATAGGGATGAGGCAGATGGAAGTGTCTAAGAAAGAGGCGAGATGGCTCATTCATTGCATAGGAGCATTTTCCCCCAAGCCCGACGTCCTGAGTTTGATCCTCAGGACCCACACGGCAGAAGGAGAGAGCTAATTCCCACGTGGTACCACACACGCACTCCCCCCGCCCCCACCCAAACAAACAAACAAACATAAATAATTTAAAGGGACAAGAAGAAGCAGTCATGCAGGGTCCCTGGGGATGGAACCTCTCAGGGAGCGGTGTTTAATTCTCAAGGAGAACTCCAGGCCTTGATTTATGCCCCAGGTTCGGCTTCTCCTCAGTCTCCCTTCCGCTGAACCCTAGTACCTGTGGGCCCTGGATAGGGCAGGCCCAGCGTAGGGTAAAAGGCCTCTGGGAGCGTGGGACCTGGGCCCAGCCTGTGCAGATGTGGGTACATCAGGCTCAGCTCTGCGGGGCCGTAGCGGATGGTGCCCGGCGTACACAGGCCCCGCACCACCGGTGGCAGGAAGCCTGCATGAAGGAGAGCAGGTGAGGGGTCCCCAGGAGGGGTCAGGCCCCACGGCAGTACTGGATCATGCTTCAGGGCCCCCGCGCGGATGACAGAAGTGAATTCTGGCCGAGGTGCGGCCGGCGGATCTGAGAGCTCCTCTTCTCCGCTGTCCTCGGAGCCTCTCGCTTCCTTCCGGCCGGGCTCCACTTTGATGCCTTTGCCTCCGGCCTGAGGGTCCTTGTCCTGGTCCTGGTCCACAGGGGCAGCCTGCTTCGGGTCAACTGGAGGCTCCTCCTCTGGAGAAGATACTTTATTTTTATGCTGTGCAGAGCTCTACTGCTGAGCCACACCCACAGCCCCTCACTGTACCCATGCATGCGAGGTGGGGTGTCTAGGCAGGGGCTCTACCACTGAGCCACACCCCCAGCCCCTCACTGGGGGATTCTAGGCAGGGGCTCTACCACTGAGCCACACCCCCAGCCCCTCACTGGGGGATTCTAGGCAGGGGCTCTACCACGGAGCCACACCCCAGCCCCTCACTGGGGGATTCTAGGCAGGGGCTCTACCACGGAGCCACACCCCCAGCCCCTCAGTGATGGATTGTCCACCGGCCTTCTACTGTTGAAGCAGATTCTAAGCCTTCTTTTTTCGGGGATGGGTGAGGGTATGGAAGTGAGATGTCAACATTGGTGGTCTTCCTGTGTCACTATTATTATGCGTGTGTGCATGATGGGGTGGCATACATGCCATCATGCGGGTGCTGTCCAGGTCAGAGAACAGCTTTGCAGAGTTGGTTTTCTTTTCTCTTTTTCTTTTTGGTTTCTCTCTGTAGCCCAGGCTGGCCTGGAACTCACAGAGATCCCCCTGCCTCTGCCTCCCGAGAGCTGAGATTAAATGTGTGTGCCACCACCGCCTGGTCCTAGCTCACGTCTTTATGCTCACGTCTTCATGCGTACACAGCAATCAGTGTACCCTCAGGCCTTTTTACTCTTTCAGACATTGTCTTGCTAAGTTGTCCGGGCTAACCTTGAACTTGGCATCTCCCTGCCTCAGCCTCCCCAGTAGCTGGCATTGTAGTCCTTCACTCCATCACTCCAACCTTGGAGGAGGCTTCTGAAGGAATGCGTGTCCCCAGCCCTTGATCTTGCGGTGTGGGGCACAGTGTGGCGGGGCTGCAGTTCACATCCCCAGTGGTTCCCGCCCCCCTCAGGCAAACAGCTGGATCAAGAGATATGTTTATCATAAGTGAAGGGAGGAACCCCAGACACCTTCTACAGCATAGCTAAGACCCGTCTATCCCTGACATGCCAATAAAGACTGGACTGAGAAGTCCCAGATAGACCTCTGCAGATGATAGAACTCTCCAGAACCCCTTCCCCACAGCCATAGAATTTTAAATAGTATCAGACATGTTTCATCTGTATTGTCCTGAGAGACGGCCAGTGGCCACATGTTGCTACTGACTATTTGAAATACGATGGGTAAATTTGAGGATGAAGACATTTAATTTTGAGGTGGGATGAGGGGTTGTTTTTTTTCAAGACAGGGTTTCTCTGTGTAGCCCTGGCTGTATGTAGACCAGGGTGGCCTTGAACTCAGAGATCTGCCTGCTTCTGCCTCCTGAATGCTGGGATTAAAAGCGTGCGCCATCATGCCCTGCTTGGTTGTGTTTTTGTTGTTGTTTGTTTGTTTTTCAAGACAGGGTTTCTCTGTGTAGTTTTGGTGCCTGTCCTGGATCTCGCTCTGTAGACCAGGCTGGCCTCGAACTCACAGAGATCTGCCTGCCTCTGCCCCTCGAGTGCTTCACTTGCCCAGCAATGGGATTGCAGAAGTGTCTCTGCACCTGGCTCTTCTTTTTTTTTTTTTTTTTTTTGGTTTTTCGAGACCGGGTTTCTCTGTGTAGTTTTGCGCCTTTCCTGGAACTCACTTGGTAGCCCAGGCTGGCCTCGAACTCACTGAGATCTGCCTGGCTCTGCCTCCCGAGTGCTGGGATTAAAGGCATGCGCCACTACCGCCCAGCTCTGGCTCTTCTTTATGAGGAACTGAACTCATACCATTAAGCTTTCCAGCAAGCACTTTATCTATTGCATCTGTCCCCAGCCCCAAGGACATTTAACTCCAGTGTTAACGTAAATAGCCATATATGTTGAGTGCCTTCCACAATGGGTCTCTTAGTCTTTCCTGGGTGCAGAGGTGGGGAGGGGTAAATTTACCTGTGGGCTCTGGCCCTGGGCTGGATGGATCCTCATGAGACACAATGGCTGGAAGCTGGAAGGCATCCAGGGGTGTTTGACCCTCTTCAGCATGGCTGGGGACAAGACGGTGGGACTGAAAACCGGAAGTCTTGGGACAGCAGTGAGTATCAACATTCCCGGCATGGAGTTTGCTGATACTACCCTGAGCACCTAAAATTTTCTATCAGACCTATTAACTCCATGTTAGTTATACACACACACACACACACACACACACACACACACACACACACACACACAGAGTTAAAACCAAAGTCTCCAGTGTGCTAAGCAGGGACTCTACTGTTGAGCTTACTGGGGGATTCTAGGCAGGGGCTTTACCACTGAGCCACACCCCAGCCCCTCACTGGGGGATTCTAGGCAGGGGCCCTACCACTGAGCCACATCCCAGCCCCTCACTGGGGGATTCTAGGCAGGGGCCCTACCACTGAGCCATACCCCCAGTCTCTCACTGGGGGATTCTAGGCAGGGACTCTACCACTGAGCCACATCCCAGCCCCTCACTGGAGGGTTCTAGGTAGGGGTTCTACCACTGAGCCACACCCCCAGCCCCTCACTGGGGGATTCTAGGCAGGGGCTCTACCACTGAGTCACATCCCCAGCCCCTCACTGGGGGATTCTAGGCAGGGGCTCCACCACTGAGCCACATCCCCAGCCCCTCACAGGGGATTCTAGGCAGGGGCTCTACCACTGAGCCACACCCCAGCCCCTCACTGGGGGATTCTACTCAGGGGCTGTACTGTTGAGCATTCTACTTATTGAGACAGGATCTCCTCAAATTTCCCAAGCTGGCCTTGAACTTTCAGTTTCCTATGTCAGTCTTTCCACTGGCTGGGATCAGAGGATCAGGCCCAGCTCCAAAATACATTCTAACTCAGCTGTGCTCTCCTTCCTATGGGCAAAACTGTGTCACTGTCTGCCCCCTGATATTACCTGGGGGTCCTTTAAGCATGTCATGGTCATCTTAGTCTCTTCCTTCTAAATCTCCTGTTCCCTTCTAGGATCCAGAGGGGCAGATGGCACTCCCTCCTCTCCTGGCTTTTTGTTTTGTTTTGTTTTTCCACACAAGGTTTCTCTGTGTAGCTCTGGCTGTCCTGGAACTCACTCTGGAATCCAGGCTGGCCTTGAACTCAGATCCAACTGCCTCTGCTCCCAAGTGCTGGGATTAAAGTCGTGCACCGCCACCCCCTACCCCCCACCCCCCACCCCAACTTCCTGGCACTTCTTAAACCATACCCCAGCCTCCTCTTCTCTTGTTCTCCAGTTCCTATTTTTCCCCAGTCAGCTCTTCCAAAAGTGCAGATTTGCCTGTGATTTCCCCCTGCAGACACAAAACCTCCCCAATGCCCCCAAGACAAAATGCCCTGCTGTTGTTTACAACCTTTTTTCTCCTGACCCTGCTCCAGCCCCAGACCCTCTCTTTCCTCCCCTGGGCAGGCAGGGCTGTAGACCTGAGGCTTCATCTGCTTTGGGCCCTCTGCTGGAAATGCATGTGTGTATTGCACCGCTCTGGTTCTCTCTGCATAGAGTCTGCAGTCACTCCCCAGTGCCCTCGAGTCAAACTCACACCTTCAGCCTGAGGTAGACCTTCGTGAGCCTTCTCTGAGACCCTGCCTGCATCACAGGTATGTCTCCTCCCAACAGTGACTCCTCTCTGCCTTCCGAGTGAGGCCATTCCATGCCTGGGCTTTTCCTCTCGGGTTCTTTCCCCTTCAGGCCTACAGAGCCCTCCCTTGAGGGGCCCCGGCTGGGATGGGGAGCGGCTGCCGCTAAGGGCCACCTCTCACCTGAGCACGTGACTGACCCACAGCACGTGATGCTCCCCGGCACTCTTCCCGTTCCCGGCCACAGTGGCCACAGACTGCAGCCACACGAAGCCCCCCGCGCGCTGCAGCCAACGGTAGTAACCAGTCACCACCTGCCCTTTGTCCAGCACTGGGTCCATCCCAAGGGAGCAGAGAGCCCAGAGGGGTGGGGAGGGTGGGTGGGCCAAGACAGGTGGGCAGGGGATAGACGGAGGCAGCAAGAGTGGGGAGAATCGAGAGAGACAGAGAAAGGTACAGAGCAAGTCAGAGACCCGGTGGTACCCCAGCATCGGTCAGAGACCCCCTCATACCCCACTTACTGCCCCTCCCATAAGCCATTGCTCAAGCTCTTTGATGCTTTTCTATTCCAAACAGAGCCCCAGGAGCT